CGACGGCCGGCGCCGGCGCCGTCGGGGATGCCGCGCAGGCGCGGAAAGGACCCCTTAAACAACGCAAGGCGAGGAAGATTAAGCTGTTTTGAGAGTGTGGTGGTGGTTTTTTGCGGGGGGGGGATTCCCCTTTCCTACGGGAGAGCGGTGGGGGTCTCACTTGATAGGGTGTGCATGGGCTTTCAGGGCCGATCCTGAGAAAGGTGGCGACATAGCCCTTTATGCTTTTCTATCTAACAGAAGATAGGATCTTTACTAGCCTTTGCGGGCTTTGAGCTACTATCTTTCTGATTCACTCTTTCTTTCCCCCTTTTGTATTTTCGAAGTAAAGTTTGTGGTACTAGTGTATGTGGTGTAAAAATGGAATTCCCATCTCTTTTCTTTCGTAGTTTCCTTCTATTCGGTTCCCTTCCCCATAAGAAAGTGATTAGGGACTAAACAATATTAGGCATAGCCTCTTTTTTTCTATTTCAATGAGTCCACTTCTTTCGAAGTATCTTCTGCAGCCCATCCGGCAAAACCCTGCGCTGGGGAGCGTGGTAGGCACTGGTGCTGTGTGTGGCTTCATATATTGGTGGTACAACACTTCTATTCGTAGCACGTTGCTCCAAACACAGCACAATTGCCATATAATTACCGAAAAGACCCTTCAGGAGTGCCGTGAGATGCTCAAGAGTGTCGAAACAAATTGGGGCGTCGATATTCGTTCTCGTGATACTCACGTTCGTCGCCTGGAGATTCAGAACGTTGAGCAAACGCGCAGTGTAGCGCGTTTGGAGGCAGCCATGAAAACATGCTTAGCTCAGGGATCGCAGCGGGAGACCAGTGAATCTTAATTAAGAATTTCCCATATCATGGTAGTAATCAAAAAAGAAAGTATTGGTGGTAACGGTATGAAAATGTGAATGAGAAATAGCACTAAAGTGCACGGTTTGAAAAAAAAGGCACATGATGTACCGTTTGGTCGTTCTGTCGGAAAAGTTAGGATTGTATTTCTTTGTGCTGAAGCTTATGGAATGAATACGTTATATTGGATCTCCTCCACTAAACAAAGGGAGCAAAAAACGGAATTGAATGCAATTTCTTTCACTTTTAATGAAATGACTTTAGCGTTTTTCCCATCTTCTTTTGCACAAAGTCTTGTTAAAATTCAACTCACACTGCAGATCTTTTATTTAGATTTTTGTTGTTCCTTAATTAGTTTGTGAGGAAGTAGGATAGAGGTATCTGCTTCTCCTTCTGCACATCTACATCTCTATATCTCTTACACACATTGTCTGATATAATAGGTGCATGAATTGCTTCGCTAACATTGTGAAATTAAGCGCGTCACTTGTGATAATCAGATAAAAGGTCAGCGAAAGAATAATCAGCGGCCTTTCCCGCGCATTTTTTGTCCTTTCATAAACCTTCCTCTCTCTTTAAAAAAAAATTAGAAATGAATCGGAAATACGATCGAGATGTGTGGCGGCCGCCCACAGCGGATAAGACTAAAAAAAAAACTACAACCGAGGAACCACTCTCCGCGTTTCAGCGCCACTTCCAGGACCGTATGGTCCTTGTTGGGAAGCATGGAAAAGTTACCAAACTAACCTGTCCGATTGAGATACCGTTGTCACCGCATGTGAAGAGTCCTAGTGATACGGTAAAATCGTCATCTGAGGCGGCAGCGCGCGATGATACCAACTCTCCTGCGAGTAAGCCCGATTTCGCCTCCTTGGACGAAAAAATGGCAAAGGTCGATAGCTCCAAGCATTCGGATGAACCCGAGAATAGTGTAGCTTTAGCACAGTTCTCGGAAAAGTTGCGGCGCCTCTTTGATAACCCGAAAAATAGTCCAGCGTCGCACAAAGAACCTGATAGGCGATCGAGTGAGCGGGGCAAGCCATCCGCTCCCACGGCAGGGAATCGAACCAAAGACTCCCTTTCTCGAGGCTCCAGTCGTCCCCAGGACGAGGGGGCCAGCGCCGGCAACGGGGGTTCCCGGAGGGACTCCCGCCCTGAGCCCACCCCACCCGGCAGGTTGAGCGCCCTGAAGCTGAACCGGCCGAAGCCCAACGCGTCGGTGGGGACCCCCCCTTTGAAGCCGGCCACGCGGCCGACACCGGCGACCCCGCCGAGGCCCCCTGTCGCAGTCCCGGCGAAGGGCCTCGGCCCGCAGCTGACGCCGGCCGCCGCTGCCAAACGCCCTGGGAAGAGGCCTGGGGAGGTGGGAAAG